TCTCGGTTCCTCCTGCCTCAGTCTCCTGGGTGTCGCTGCGCCAGAGGGTGGGCTAATCACGGTTTATGATGTTACCTCAGTTGTCCAAGGTTGGGGACCAAGAGAAAAAGGATTACCGGCGTGGGCGGAGCTGGCCTCCAACTCAGAATCCTAACTGTCCCGGCCCAGCCCGTCCCGGCACCCCAGCCCATTCCTGGTCCGACTCAGCGGCGAACCTGCCCTTCCACCCTGCAGATCCTGACTGGGCCTCATACAAGCTGGGGATTTTCATCTGTCTCCACTGCTCTGGCGTCCACCGCAACTTCCCAGATGTCAGCAAAGTTAAATCCGTGAGACTGGACTTCTGGGACGACAGTATGGTGGAGGTAGAATGGCGCACATATGCAGATTCTTGGAATTGGGCTTGGGGAGAGGAGGCGGGACGCAGATGTTGCTCCTATTCCACAGAGGAGGAAATGAAGCCTAAAGAGGTGCAATGACTAATGAGAGGAACAAAGAGTTGTAGTAGGTGGTGGCTTAGACAAGGGCCCTGAGTTCAAATCCTAGTTAATCACTTGCTCCCCTTACAAGGGGCGAGACCCTAAGTAGTGCCTTTAAATGTGTGTGTGTGTGTGTGTGTGTGTGTGTATTTAAATATATGTGTGTAACTGAGTGTACATATGTGCACCACATATGTGCAGGAGCCCACAGAGGTCAGAAAGAGGTATTGGCTCCCCTGGAATTGGAGTTACAGGTAGTTTTGAGCTACCATAGTAGCGCTGGGAATTGATTGAATCCTGGTCTTCGGAAAGACCAATAAGTGTTCTTAACTACTGAGCCATCTCCCTAGCCCTTGGGCTAGTTCCTTAATCTTAGCTATGGATTCTATTTCCACACCCATGCTATGGACACGTGCCACCCTCTCCCTGGCTGCTGTAAGAATAAAACACAGCTGGGTGATGGTGGTGCGCGCCTTTGATCCCAGCACTTGGGAGGCACAGGCAGGTGGATCTCTGTGAGTTCGAGGCCAGCCGGGTATACAGAGCAAAGTGCAGGACAGCCAAGGCTACACAGAGGTTCTATCTCAAAAAACCAGAAGGAAAAAAAAAAAAAGAATAAAGCACAGGTTGAGCACAGACACAAAGTGAATTAACAGTTACTGTCATCCTTCATGGGAGCCAGGAACTGAGGAAAGAAGAATCCCAATTCGTAGCTCAGGGTCCTTCACGATTCCCTAGCCCACTCTGCTTTCCTGTCCAGTTAGTATGGAGGAGCCTTCAGCCTGGATGAAGCCATTTTGGCCAGAAAACCTGAAGAGAGCAGACAGGTCTACAGCACACTGGTGAACTGAGAGGTTCAAGGGCCATTGGGGAAGCAGGTAACATTGTTGAGCATTCCCATTCTATGGCAGGACTATCTGGACTGGATTTTTACCAGTCAGTACACACAGATGTAACTGTAATGTCCTTGATGGAGAAGAGCACACTGACAAGACAGAGTGACTGTCTAGTCCAGACTTACGTTCTGTGCAGGGGAAACACAGGGACTCAGTCAACCAGCCCATACACCCACAGTTTTTTGCCTTCTAACTCCCTGTTATGTCTTCACTGGGACAGGTGAGCTCCCCCAGTCACTCATTCTCTGCTGGGGTCCACAGGCAATGCTTATCTATGCCATGGCTCCAGAGACCCCAGGGAGGATAATAGTGGTCACTGTATCCAGAGATATGAATTACAGACCTACTGTTCCTGCCTCCCCACCCCCATGTCACTGTCCACCGACACATCAGCATATCACTGGACAGAATGTCCACTCTGAGTCTCAGGTGACATTGGATATGCTATGGGGCTGGCAGCCACTTCCATTCTCCAGCTATCCCAGCTATTCTGTAGACTTTAAGGGCTGTGAGGGGGGCCTGGCTGTCTGTGGAAGGAGTGAGATAAAGAACATGAGCTTTGTGGTCCAGCAGAAACAGGTTGACATCATCACTTTGTATTAACTAGCTGTGTTGTCTTGAGCAAGTCACCTAACTTCTCTGAGACACGATTATCAGTCCTCCATGTTAGGACAAACTAGGGCTTTGCATGCCTGCTGAGACGCTACCTTAGAGGCAGTTTCTCCTGGCCCTACCTCAGAGACAGTGAAAGCCACAGACTTTTTATTTTTTGAAATAGGGTCTCTCTACATAGTCCTAGACTTCCTGGAACTCACTGTGCAGAACAGGCTGACCTCAAACTCACAGAAGTCCACCTGTCTCTGCTGGGATTAAAGGTGTGTGTGCGTCACCTTGCCTAGCAACCAGTCTTTGGGTGGCAGACCATGGTTTCATTTCATGTAATTTTTTTTTAGTTCTACAATTACTCCAATTTTCTCTTGTCTTACAGTTCATGACCCACAATGGAAATCTCAATGTGAAAGCCAAATTTGAAGCCAGAGTCCCAGCTTTCTACTATGTCCCTCAGGTCAGCGACTGCCTGTAAGTAAGTGATTCCCTAAGAACTGGGGAGGGATCTTCCAGGCCCTTCTCTCTTCCTGGTACCTTTGTCTGAGGTGAGTTCTCCTGTGACCTGGTTATAAGTTCTTTCAGGGATGAATTTGGTATCATCACATAGGGCACACAGGAATCCTGGTTTAGATCAGGTGTGTTGGCACAAGCTTGTAATTCTAGTGCATAGGAGGTGAATAAAAAGGGTATGATCAGCGCTGGGCAGTGGTGGCACCCGCCTTTAATCCCAGCACTCAGGAGGCAGAGGCAGGCAGACCTCTGTGAGTTCGAGACCAGCCTGATCTACAAGAGCTAGTTCCAGGACAGTCTCCAAAGCCACAGACAAACCCTGTTTCGAAAAACCAAAAAGAGAAAAAAAAAAAAAGGGTATGATCAGAAATTCAAGGTCAGCCTCAGCTACATAGTAAGTCAGAGACCAGCTTGGGCTACTTGAGACTATACCTCAAACAAAACAAATATTAAAGCATTAATATTTGCGGAGCTTTATCCATATGCTAAATGCTGTGTGTGTTATTGCCAAATATTCTCAGCAAACCTGCAAGTATGATTGTTACCCTCTGTTTGAGAGACAGAACAGGATGGGTGTGAAAGAATATAGAGCTGGGTATGGATCATCTGACACCAAGGGACATTAGGAAAATACAGTTTTAAATAATAATTTAAAAAAAAGGAAAACACAGTTTAGTAGGAGGGTTGTAAAGGGGAGGGATAAGGGGGACCCTAGACCCTGTGACGCCAAACCTCTGAAAGGTTGACTCCCTGAACACCTGGGCCTCCTTCTCAGGGACTTGGCCTCATTCAGGGCAGTCAGACAGTGATCTATCTATCTATCTATCTATCTATCTATCTATCTATCTATCTATCTTTTTAAGATTTATTTATTATGTATACAGTGTTCTGTCTGCATGTATGCCTCCAGGCCATAAGAGAGCACCAGATCACATTACAGATGGTTGTGAGCCACCATATGGTTGCTGGGAATCAAACTTAGGACCTCTGGAAAAACAACCAGTGCTCTTAACCACTGAGACATCTCTCCAGCCCTATATCTATCCATTTTATGTGCATGTGTGTGTGCATGCCGAAGCTAGGCAGCAGTGGTGCATGCCTTTAATCCAAGCACTTGGGAGGCAGAGGTAGGTGGATCTCCATGAGTACAAAATCAGCCTGGTCTACAGGGTGAGTTCCAGGACAGCCAGAGCTACACAGAGAGATCCTATCTAAAAAGACAAAGACAAAAACAAGAACAAAAACAGCCCCCCCCAAAAGGTGGCCAAGCCACCAAATCCCTTGGACATCCTTCTACATGTACTTCAAGTCCCTCTTCAAATGCACTGCAACAAAACCTGCCTTACAATGTAATGTAGGTCAAATGACATCATTTGTTAAGCATCTCCCATGTCATCTAGCATGGTAATTTTAATGCATTTCTTAGTGTCAGCCTTACAGTGATACCAGGTCCCTTAACCCTCTGTGGGTTACGTTGGACACCACTTGAAATAACCTATCCCATCTTTCCCCTATTGCTACCATTCAGTCTTTGCTCCAAGCCCCTGGACAGTGTCACCTGGGCTTTCCATCCTGTCCCCTCCAGCATTGTTTATCATGACTCCTACAAATGTCTTTGCATTTTAATCCCTGTTGATTGAGAGCTGGTGCCTGTTTTCTTCCAGTTCTAACACTACTGCATTCCCCACCACTGGGACTAGAACAGGAGCCCTCAGTGTCTAGTTTTTCCCCTAGTGCTGATCCTATGGCCTAGGATTCCCACTCCCTTGTTGGGTGTGGTGCCGTCCTCACTGTCCCTTGGGGAAGACTGTGCCTGAGGAAGGTATTGGGGGTGTATACTGAGAGTCAAAAGCATGGCCTGTGTATATCCAGCCAGTATTCTTCCTCTGAGCTACATCTCAAACCTAGAAAGAACTCATGATTGTAAGGGACAGAATTCCAACTTAAGCTGGCTCAGGTACCAAAAGATTTGGGGGGTTCTGAAGATCAGACATCAGGAAGGACAGGTGTGAAGCCACCCTAAAAAAGTATCCTGCCAGCCGGGCGTTGGTGGCGCATGCCTTTAATCCCAGCACTTGGGAGGCAGAGGCAGGTGAGTTTGAGGCCAGCCTGGTCTCCAGAGTGAGTGCCAGGATAGGCTCCAAAGCTACATAGAGAAACCCTGTCTCGAAAAACCAAAAAAAAGCCAAACCAGGTACTGTAGTACTGTAGTGCATACCCATAATCCTAGGATTAGGAGTCTAAGAAGGCTGACACCATCATGGTGTGAGTTTGAGACAAGCCTGGACCGAAGTGAGACACTGTTTCAAAACAACAGCAAAGGCCTACAAGATAGCCCAGTGCATAAAGGCACCTGCCATTAAGCTGGAGAACCTTAGTTCCCATTCCTGGGATCTGCATGAAGGAAGGAGAGGACTGGTTCCCACAAGTTGTCTCTGACAACCACATGTGCACTGCAGAGTGAGCCCTTGCATACACACACGTGCACATAAGATAGATAGATAGATAGATAGATAGATAGATAGATAGATAGATTAAAGAGAGGAAACAAAAGGAAGGAGGAAGAGGAAGGGAATCATAATACCAGGAGCTCAATCATGACCAAGGAAAAGAAGGGGAGATGGAAGGACCACACCAGATGCTCAAGTGTGACACAGTCCTCATATACTGTCCTGGCACTTGTCCCTGAATCTTTCTCTCAGCCAGATTTCTACCTGCAGCTGACAGCAAATCTACTTGCAGGTTCATGCTGTGTGTCCCAGCATGGCCCAGAGAAGATTTCTGGCCAGTCTCTTAACTTTTGGTTTCTTTTACCCCTAACAGCCCCGGGCAACCCAGAGCTCCAAGTGACCTGCTTAGGCCAGATTCACAGCTCCAGGTCACTCCCATTCCCAGGGCATTTGATCAGCTAACCTTTGAAACATGTACCTGGAAAAGATAAGAAGGAACAAACAATGAAAATAAGCTTGTTCTCAGCTGCACAGGTTTATTGCACCCAAGAATAGCATTGGATTAATGCTAGCATTAAGAACCTACTATGAGCTGGACAGCAGTGGTGCATGCCTTTGATCCCAGCACTCGGGAGGCAGAGGCAGAGGGATCTCTGTGAGTTTGTGGCCAGCCTGGTCTACAGAGTGAGTTCCAGGACAGCCAGGGATACACAGAGAAACCCTGTCTCTAAAAACAAAAACAAACAAACAAAAAAGGACCCACTGTGAGGCTGGTGTTGTGAAGCACACCTTTATCTATCTGGGAAACAGAAGCAGGCAGATTTCTGTGAGTGGCCAGCCTACATAGTAAGACCCTGTCAATGACACAAAAAGTCCTACTATATGTTGAGTATGGTGCTGGGCCTTTTGTAAACCACTGCCCTCCTCAACAGCACTAGAGAAGGCAGGTATGTTACTGGCTCATTTCCCAAATTTAGATCTCTTCAGTCATTTGGTCTGGAATGTGGCACAGGTGGTAGAGTGCCTACCTAACATGCTTAAAGCCCTGGGTTTGATCCCCAGGGCTGCATAAAGCTGGAATGGTGGCACACGCCTGTAATCCCAGCACTTGGGAGGTGGAAGCAGGAAGATCATGAGTTCAAAGTCATCCTCAGTTACTTTAGCCACCTGGGTCAGCCTGGGATACCCTCATCAGTCTGCTCTGTGCAGTGTGGTGGCTCAGGGCCCATCAACAGGTCCAGGACATTTCTGGCTGAAGTTCAAAAACAGAGAGTTTGGGGTGTGCTGAGGATGGGGTAAGTGTCTAGGGAACTCATGTCTTCACCAATGACATAGAGCCCTGAGGGACAGTGCAGTGCTTCTCAACCCACTGGAAAACAAATTTCCCTGGTGTGTCATCTGGAGAGCATAATCTAGGAGTAAAAGCCAGAGGTACTGCCATACATTCTATAAAGCACAGGGCAGTCCTCACCCCCACTACAGAGAATCATCCAGCACCAATGTTAACTATCCTAAGGTGAAGAACCTCTGAGTATTCTGAGATGCTAGGCTGTTCCCACCCTCCCCTATAGGGTCTTGGCAAATCACTGTGGGAATGGGAAGACACTGCAGCAGACACAACTGACCAAAAGTTCTCTTTTTAGAGTCTTAAAGGAACAGTGGATTCGAGCTAAGTATGAAAGACGGGAATTTATGGCTGATGAGAAAGCTGTCTCACCCCCAGGTAAAGTCACTATGAGGTCTGCATGTATGTATATGCACCATATGTATGCAATGCATCCAGAGGCCAGGACAGGGTATTGGATCCCCTGAGACTAGAGTTGTGGCAATTTTGAGCCATGTAGGTGTTGGGATTTGAACTTGGGTCATCTGGAAGGATAGCCAGTGCTCTCAGCCACTGATCATCTCTGCAGCCTAAAGTTACCATCTTATGTGTTGAGGTCTACATTCTAATGAGCTCTAGAAAAATGAAAGGTGGGAGGTAGGCTTGGGGAGGAGCTTGAGCTAGATCCCAGCCTCTCTTCTCACACTGACAGCCCTCCACCTGGGGCAGTTTTCATTCCACTGACTTGAATTCTCAAGTTGGCACTGCCCAGAGGACAAAGCTTGAAAGGACAAAGCTTTCAGAAGATTTGAAGGATGCAAATTATTCTTCACACTAGTGTCTTGAGGTCACTCTTATAACTCTTTTCTTTTTCTATGAGGCAGGATTTCTCTGTGTAGCTCTGGCTGTCCTGGAACTATGTAGACCAGGCTGGCCTCAAAGTTAGAGATCTGTTTACCTCTGCTCCCTGAGTGCTAGGATACATAATTTACAGAAATTATGTATATAATTTACATAATATAAAAATTTTTAGGTAGGGTCTCACTCTATATCCCTGATTTGCTTAAACTTCTTTATGTATCCCAGGCTGATCCTAAACTCACAGAGATCCATCTGTCTTTGCCTCTGAAGTGCTGGCATCAAAGGTGTGTTCCACCAGACACACACTTCATTCTTTTTAGGCAAGATCTCTTCTGTCCCAGGCTGGCCTTGAACCCACTGTATAGCCAAGGATGACCTTGAACTCCTGATTCTCATGCCTCTACCTTCGTAATGTCAGTATTACAGATGTGTGCCACCACAACTGAACTTATGTAGTTCTGGGTGTTAAATCCAAAGTGTCTTGCATGCTATACGAGACTCTGCCGGTTGAACCATGTCCCAGGACCTTTTTCAAAACCAGTCCAGTTTCTTGACACTTGGTCTTCTTTTTTTAAAAAATATTTTATTTATTTATTTATTTTGTATACAACATTCTGCTTCCATGTATGTCTGCACACTCTGTCTGCATGTATGTCTGCAGGCCATATAGATCTCATTATAGATGGTTGTGAGCCACCGTGTGGTTGCTGGGAATTGAACTCAGGACCTCTGGAAGAGCAGTCAGTGCTCTTAACCTCTGAGCCTTCTCTCCAGCCCAACACACTTGATCTTCTTAAGAGATTTTTTTCTTTCTCTCCTTACCAATCCTCCTCTCTTCTCTTTTCTTCCTTTTTTTGAGACAGGGTTTCTCTGTATAGCACTGTCTATCCTGGAATTCACTCCATAGACCAGGCTGGTCTCTAACTCAGAGATCTGCCTGCCTCTGCCTCCTGAGTGCCACCACTGCTGGCCCTAAATTACAGAAAACTTACTTTAGTCAGGTTGTGGTGGCACATGCCTTTAATCCCAGCACTCTGGGTGGATCTCTGTGAGTTTGAGGCCAGCCAGGTCTACAAAAAAGTGAGTTCTAGAACAGCCAGGACTGTTACACAGAAGCCCTGTCTCAATAAAAACAAAAAACAAACAAAAAAAATCATCTTTATGTGTACGATTGTTTGGCCTGAATGTCTGACCATGCACTACATGCAACACTAGTTCCCTCAGAGGTCAAAAGAGGGTGTTTGATCCACTAGAACTGGAGTTATGGACGATTGTGAGCAGTCATGTGGATGCTGGGACCTGGGTCCTCTGCAAGAGGAAGTGCTCTTAACTGCTGAGTCATCTTTCTTTCTTATGACAAAGTCTTGCTATGTAGCCAAGACTGGCACCGAACTCTCCTTCCTCAGCTGAAGTGCTAGGATTCAGGCTCTGCCACATCTGTCTTCTAGTGAAGCTGACTGACCTCAGGGAGAGTCAAGATAGGAAGGTTTGGCACAGTAGGTGGAGACTGAAATCATATAAGGTTGGCCCCAGATAGGGCCTTATGCCCTACATCTGAAATAACACAGTTAGACTGGTTGTATCTGAGTGGCAGGTGGAGGCTCTCCCTATACCCAGGACCTTGACGCACTCTTTAGCTGGTTTATGTTGACTTCATGATTCACTTCTTCTCACCCTTGGGGGTTAAGGTGATCGAGAAGTGTTCCTGTGGAAGCGGGGACGCAACAATGCACAGTTCCTGAGAAGGAGGTTTGTCCTTCTGGCAAGAGAAGGCCTCCTGAAGTATTACACCAAGGAGAAGGTAAGAGGCCAGGCTGCCCATGCTTCCTCAGGACCACTCTGCTCACTAAGGCCTTCGTGGACAGTCCCTTGTCTTACGGAGAACTTCCGCCCTGGCAAGCATGACATTCTGTTACTTTTCCTTGGCTACTGTCAATCCAGTCTGCTAGAAACCACAATGTGGTCACTTGAAATCACTTAGGTTAGTCCACTTCATTGTTGTTCTCTATTTTTTTTTCTTTTTGAAACAGAGTATCACTATGTAGCTATTACTAACCCAGAACTTGATATGTAGCTTCCAATAGCCTTGGCCCGTTGAGAGCCATTCCTGAATCCTGGGATTAAAGGAGTATGCCACCATGCCTGGCCAAAAACAATTTTATTGAGATATATGTACATATGTGACTTATTCATTTAAATGGGGTTGAGCAAAGTGGCTGGTGACATTAATCCCAGCACTCAGGAAGCAGAGGCAGTTGTATGTGGGTGAGTCAGAGGTCAGCCTGGTCTACATAGTGAATTCCAGGACATCCAGGACTATATAGAGAGACACTGTCTCAAAAAAACAGAACTAACTAACTAATTAACTAACTAACTAAACATTTAAACAATACTCAGGCATTGGTGGCACACGCCTTAAATCCCAGCACTCCGGAGTCAGAGGCAGGAAGATCTCTGTGAGTTTGAGGCCAGCCTGGTCTACAGAGTGAGTTCCAGGACAGACTCCAAAACAGTACAGAGAAACCCTGTCTCGAAAAAAACAATAAAATAAAAAAGAACTCTCCCTCACCTGCCCAGTGCCCTGGGAATGCTCTGTGGCCAGAAAGTTACCTCCTCTTCTATTTGTGATGTTAGAGATTGGACTCAGGATTTGTGCATCCTGGACCAGCAGTGTATCATTGAGCTAACCCCTCACACAGCTGGGTCAGGTTTCTTCATGGTATAGACTCTGTTTCCTTTCTTTCTTTTTGCTTTTTGAGACAGGTTTTCTCTGTGTAACCAACCACCCCCAACAATGACAAACATCCATAATCTGTTGAATAGCCAAAACCCACCCATACCCCATCTCTTGGGAATGTGGGGATCATTCTCTAGACTGCTTCCTGTTGTCTGTGGGGGGAGGGAGACCTTGAGAATATCAGGATAATTGTTAGGTCTTAGCTGGAGACCTAACAATTGTGAAGCTGGACCATCTCAGCCAGCAGCCTTGAAGCTGTTCTGGATGCAGAACTCTGGGGAGACTGTAACAGAGGCATTCTGAGATGCTGGATCACCTGGGCCATCCATTTTCCTTGGTGTCTGGTCCCCTTGTTCTCAAAATACAAAAACTTTTAAAGGTAACATACATTTCTCTATTAATACAAGTGTAGACTCTGTGTTGTACACAAGTTAGCCAAAGATGATTTTTTTGTTTTATGTTTGAGCAGGTAAAATACACTTTATGTGTTTTGTGGTTTTTCTAATTTTATTTATGTCTTAGCCAGAGTTACAGGGGGTCTTCCATGATCAAACCTGACCCTTATCCACCTGGAATGAATCCACAGCCTCTCATTTCCTGTGGAAATAAAAGCATAGCCTCTCCCCCAAAGCAACATACCTTTTCACTTCCATTTTGAAGTCAAGGTATTTTTTAAATATGTAGGTTGGTTTAATCTTGCAATTTTCATAATCAAATGTCTTTTAGCAGCTATCTCTCCTTTGTTAGTAGTCAAAAAAATCAAAGACATCACAATAGCATACAGAATTCAGACTCTCTGTATTTTCCATCTTTTTTTCCCCAGACAAGATTTCTCTGTGTAACAGCTCTGGCTGTCCTGGAACTAGCTCTATAGACCAGTTGGTCTCAAACTCACAGAGATCTTCCTTTCTCTGCCTCCCAAGTGCTGGGATTAAAGGCTTGCGCCACCACCACCCAGCGTATTTTCCATCTTTACATGCCTTGTTTTTTATTACTTTATTCCATTCTTAAGGACTTTATTATTTTTAAACTACTTTTAAATCTATGACTATATATTCTTTGTCTTTCTTCTCACAAATCTATGTATATTTTTAAACACACTATAAGCCGTTTAGATTTTTTTTTCCAATCTGGATCTATCTTTACTGAGCATTTGTATTGTTTTTTTGATCACTTGAGATGGATCTTAAACTGCTATGTCAGCCACCAGCACTGCTCAGTTTAGTGAATAGTGCTAGAACATGACAGTTGGTGCCTGGCTCTGAATTGTCGCCAGCATGAGAGACATGAGAATAGGAAGCTGTGTTTGCCTCCGTTTTTGTGTGTTTAGAACATTTTTACAGCTTTCTTAGGACATAGGTGGATGTAGGTGCTTCACTTTGGACACCATATGTAGGTGGATTTTTCTGTCCTGCCAATAGCTGCCCAAATAACCACACAGAGACTTCTTACTAATTATAAATGCTTGGCTGATAGCTGAGGCTTGTTTTTAACTAAATCTTCTAACTTAAATTAACCAATTTCTATTAAACTATGTACTGCCCCAAGGATCATTTACCTCGTACGTACTTTCCATCTTGCTTGCTCTGCATCTCATGGCATCTCCTCGATTTTAGACTCCATCCTTCTTCCCAGTGTCTTCCTAGTCTGGCTCTCCCTCCCAATCTCATCCTGCCCAGCTATAAGCCAGATAACTCTTTTGTTAACCAATGAGAGTAATACATATTTACAGTGTACAAAGATTGTTCCAGAGCAATGCATACTTTACCATTGAGCCCTGCCTCCATCCTGGTGATGTTATATTTCTTTTGAAGTTAGCAAGAAGGTTGGGCATGATGACATACACCTTTAATCCCAACATTCAGGAGACAGAGCAGATGGAGCTCTGTGATTTTGATGCCATCTACAACTGCATAATGAAAGTCTGATTCAAAAGGAGAGAGAATATTGATATAACTATGCATTTTTATTGTGTGTTCATAAATAATCTTGCATATGTAATATGCATATTTATGTGGTTTTTGTTTTGTTTTTCTAGATAGGCTTTCTCTGTGTAACAGTGCTGGCTGATTTGTGGACCAGGCTGACCTTGAACTCACAGAGATCCACCAGCCTGTGCCTCCCAAGTGCTGGGATTAAAGGTGTGCCCCACCACCACCTGGTTATTTATGTGTATTTTATAATGTGTTCCTGATATATTTATTGTTCTAGGAGTTGGTATTACTCTCTAATAGATGTTATGAATAATTTTTCATATTAATAATACTGATGGGGACTGATGGAGAATCTTTTTGGGGTACTTGTTTTCTTGTTTTTTTTCAAGACAGGGTTAATCTGTGTAACAGCTCTGGCTGTCCTGGAATCTACCTTGTAGAACAGGCTGGTCTTGAACTCATAGAGATCTGCTTGCGTCTGCCTTCTGAGTGCTGGAATTACAGGCATGTTCTACCACAACTGGGAAATTTTGTTTTGTTTTTTGAAGCATGATTTCTTTGAATAGCTTTTGCTGTCCTAGAACTCACTCTGTAAACCATGCTGGCCTTGAACTTAGAGATCCACTTGCTTCTACCTCCTGAATGCTTAAAGGTGTGCACCATCTCTGCCCGAATGGGAAATCTTTTTGTCAGTGCTCATGATAGACTGGTGGTATACCTCTGAGCTACATCCTAGGCCCTGTTTTCTTTTTCTTTCTTTCTTTCTTTTAAGATTTATTTATTTATGATGTATACAATGTCCTGCCTGCATGTATGTATGCAGGCCAGAAGAAGGCTCCAGATCTCATTATAGATGGTTATGAGCCACCATGTGGTTGCTTGGAATTGAACTCAAGACCTTTGGAAGAGCAGCCAGAAAGGAAGAGCAGCCAGTCCTCTTAACCTCTGAGCCATCTCTCCAGTCCCCTATGCCCTATTTTCATTGTTGTTGTTTTATTTTGAAACTGCATCTGGCTTTAGAGCCCAGCCTGACTCAGAATTCCTGAGTACTGGGAGTATAGGAGTGTTTATTATTATTATTATTATTATTATTATTATTATTATTATTGGTTTTTCAAGACAGGGTTTCACTGTGTAACACCCTCAACTGACCTGGAACTCACTTTATAGACCAGGTTGGCCTGGAACTCACTGAGAACCATCTGCCTCTGTCTCTGCCTCCCAAATGCTGGGATTAAAGGCATGTGCCATCAATGCCTGGCCTATTTTTCAATTCTGTAGTATTCCATTGTGTGCCTATACTATGTTTTTTTAACCCATTATAATTGATAACATTTAATTTATTTCCCTTGTTGTTTTGTGGTGTGTGTCTGTGGTGTGTATGTGTGTGCTTGTGGTGCTGGGATTGAATTTATGGCCCTGGACATGCAAAGCAAACAATCTATCACTATGCTACATTCCCCAGAATTTTTGCTACTTATACAATATAGCAAACATGGTTTGACATATGTTTGCATAGTCATGCAGTTATTTCCTTGTAGTAGATTCTTAGATGCAAACTGTAGGTCAGACAGCACTCAGGTGAGGAAGGTGCTCATTGGGTGAAAGTGCCTGGCTGTCTGAGTTCAAATCCAGGAGCAGATGATGGGAGGGGAGAACTGACTCTTGAAGGTTGGCCTCTGACTTTCACGTGTGTACCGTGGCACACATGTACCACGCAACAACAATAGTATTCACATCGACATTTTAACAGATAAGACCAAGTTTCCCTCTAGAGATGTTCTGTAGAACTTTCCTTGGTGATGACGTATTTTGTGTATGCCCTGTCTGGGTCTCATAGCTTGCTAGTGAGCACTTGGCATGAAGCCAAGTGTAACTAAGAATGGAATTTTTAAATTGTGTTTAAAAATTTTGTGGATTCGCTGTGGCTCCTGCAGGTGTGGGGGGCTTGGAATCATCATGTCTCTGGTCAAGATCTCTTTTTGGTATCATTTGGTGCTCCACCATGTGTCAGAGCCCAAGGATCAGGCACCGAGAATGTGTGTGTCAGGGGTGCTCTGAGCCCCCGCTACTGCTTCTATCTGGCTGTTTATTTCACGCCTGGTTGATTTACTCTAGGCATGTTTCTGTGGTTAAAACATGAGAAAAGTTCAAAGTGAAAGGTTTCTAGACCAGACTCCAGCTCAGAGGGGCCAGTGTGACTAGGCAGGAGGAGGAGGATGAGTGTAGGCAATCAGTAGGACAGCTGTGCCTTTGGCTATTAGAACAACCCAAGGCTATATATTGGGGGATTCTTTGTATTAAAGGCACCTATTGCCATCAGTATCTTGAGAATCGTCTTTCTCTCTTCTAGGGTAAAACCCCAAAGGCTGTCATCAACATCAAGGACTTGAATGCCACCTTCCAGACAGAGAAGATAGGACATCCCCATGGGCTGCAGATCACCTACAGGAGAGAGGGCCACACCAGGAATCTCTTTGTGTATCATGACAGTGGGAAGGTGAGATGGCTCAAGTGGCTTCTGCAGTCTCCAGCATGGCATCCGCCCTTTGGGCTCTGCTCACTACTTCTACCCCACAGTTCATCATGTGCTTGCTCAGCAGCCCCTGAGACCGGCTGCTGCTGCTGCTGCTTGCCTTAGTCTGTTTCCACTTTGTAATAAGAGATCTGAGGACAGTAGAATGGGATGTAGTAGATGAACCTTCCAGGTGCTGAGAACAAAGCCTAGCAAGGCATAGTCATCAGTGAGGGAAAAGGTAGCAAAGGGGGCCATAGCTAGAAATGGCAAATCCAATGGTTGTGGCATCACACACCAGGCCCCAGCACTCAGGAGGCAAAGTCTGGTAGATCTCTGTGAGCTTGAGGCCAGCCTGCTCTGCAGAGTGAATTCTAGGCAAGTCAGGACTGCATAGCGAGACAACAACAACAACAACAACAACACACACACACACACACACACACACACACACACACCAAACAAACAATGAAGAAATGGCAAGTCCAGGTAGGCCTGAGATTGTGATTTGGGAGAAAGAGTGGATAGATTGGGCCAGGGCTTTCTTTCCACATGCCACACACTGGACCGAAGTTACCTAAGACCTTGTGAGTCTTGTGGCTGGAAGAATGGCTCAGTGAAGCATTTGTTGCTTTTGTAGAGGACCTAGGTTCAGTTCCCAACACCCACATGGTGGTTCACAACTGTCTGTAACTTCAGTTTCAGGGCAACCAATGCCTTCTTCTGGCCTCTGTGGGCACAAGGCACTTGTCTATGGTGCACAGACATACATGCAGGCAAAATACTTTTACACATTAAATAAAAGCAAAGAATTATTTTAAGAAAATTATTTTATGTATGAGGTGTTTTTGCCTGCAATTCTGTCTGTGTATCATGTACGTGCCTTGTGCTCACGGAGGCTAGGGTGAGGTATCTGATTCCCCTGGAACACAAATTACAAATAGTTGTAAGGTACCATGTGGTTGCTGGCAGTCAAACCTGGGTCCTCGGGAAGAACAGCAAGTGTGCTTAACTGCTGAGCCATCTGTGCAGCCTCCAAATAAATAGATAAAAGGACTAGTCTTAAGACACTCAGACCCTCTCAATTAGAAACTTTAACAGAGTCTTGGGTGATTAGAACATACAATAATGCTTGAGAACCATTATGTTTTTATAATACCAGAGGTTGGCAGGCTGAAGCAGGAAGATCATGGGTTTGAGGTCAAATTAGACTACATAGCAAGACTGGGACATAGGTCCAGTCAGAGGAGGGCAGTCAGGCAAAAGGGTATGTGTGAGAGTGAATTGGGTCAGATCATCAGCACAGTCAGTGATGGGACAGGGTGGAGATGCCAAGTGGACATGGCAGAAGCACTGGCTGACATTTTGGGATCATTTAACTTTGCTAGACGTGCTCTTGGTGGCTGTTAAGCCTTTTTTGTTTTTTGTTTTTTTGTTTTTGGATACAGGGTTTCTCTGTGTAGCTTTGGAGCCTGTCCTGGCACTCAATCCATAGACCAGGCTGGCCTCAAACTTACAGAGATCCTCCTGCTTCTGCCTCCCTAGTGCTGGGATTAAAGGCATGCACCACCACCACCACCGGCTAACTTTCATTTCATTAGAGACAGGATTTCTTTCTGTAGGTCTGGCTGTCCTGAAACTCAATCTAGACCTGGCTGGCCTCGAACTTGCAGAGATCTGCCTGCCTCTGCCTCCTGAGTGCTAGGGTTAAAGGCTTGTTTTCTATTTTCAATGCTGGGAACTTAGCCATGTGCATACTGAGTACCATTTTTTCTGGGGTGGCCCCACTTATGTAATACCTAAGACCCAAGACCTTTTGTGTTTAATGTTTTACTTTTCTTTCTTTTTTCAGGAGGACTTATGTTTTACTATGTAGCCCAACTGGTTTTGAACTTGGAGCAATCTTCCTGCCTCAGCCCTCCTCCTGCTGAGATTATAGACATAGGCCAACATACCCTGCCGAGAAAGCCCTTAACAAACACCAGGACAGGAGAGCTCATATATCCTGGGAGAGAGAACCTAGCTGATAAATCCTGTCCTACCTCTGTATTGGTCCAGCTGCTATAGTTAAGTCAGGGTGGGAATTTTAGGTGTGAGGTTGAGGATTGGGCCAGCAATTATCAGAGAAGAAAGGCTGGGATGGGAGCCAAATGCCTGAGAATCTATCCCAACATCTAAACTAACGTATGTAAGGAATGGACTGTTGTAGGTAAAAGAGGGGGAAGGCAGGAGGGAGGAGGGCATGAGGTGGTGTGAGTGTGGGTAGTGAGTGAGGTGTGCACCATCTTACTCTGTGTTTCATTTTGTTATTTTATGTATGTAGGTATTTTGCCTGTGTGTATTATCTCTAAACCATATGCATGCACTGTCTGTGGAGGTCAGAAGAGGGAATCCCCAGGAACTGGAGTTACAGATGGTTGTGCGCTGCCATACCAGTGCTGGGAATCAATCCCAGGTCTTTGCAAGGACAGTGCTCTCAATCACTGAGCCGTCTCTCCAACCCCTTGCTCTGTATTGACACTACCAATTGTCTTGGTACAAGTTTTCTTCTTGTTTGTTTGCTTATTTGAAACAGGGTTTCACTATGTAGCCCTGGCTGTCTTGGAACTCACTATGTGGACTATGCTGGCTTCAAATGAATATAGATTTGAAGTGCCTGCTGAGTGCTGGGATTAAAGGTGTATCTACCATGCCCGCCTCAGTATAAGCTCTCAATGAAAATTCATTTAGGAAAGAAAGAAAAAAGAGAGAAAGAAAGAAAGAAAGAAAGAAAGAAAGAAAGAAAGAAAGAAAGAAAGAAAAAGAATAAGTGTGGTGAAACACACATAATTCTAGTACTTGGGAGGTAGAGGTAGGAGGCTCACAATCAGGTTCAAGTATGGACTACATGGCAAAACCCTGTATCAAAAATAGCAATAAAAGGGCTGGAGAGATGGCTCAGAGGTTAAGAGCACCGGCTGCTCTTCCAGAGGTCCTGAGTTCAATTCTCAGCAACCACATGGCAGCTCTCAACCATCCATTATGAGATCTGGTGCCCTCTTCTGGTGTGCAGATACACATGGAAGCAGAATGTTGTATACATAATAAATAAATCTTTAAAAACAATCAAAATAAAATAAAAAGGTATAGTGATGCACACCTGCAATCCCAGTGGTGGGAGGAAGAGGCAGGAGGATCAACAGTTCAAGGCTAGCCTCTGCTACTTAGCAACAAGACGAGCTTGAGACTGTACCTCAAAAAACAAAAAGCAAACAAACAAAAAAGTAAAAAGGCTCTGGCGATACAGATCAGTTATAAAGGGCTTCCCTAGATACTGTAAAAAGCAGAGGCTGGAAAGATGTCTCAGGAGTTAAGAGCACTTGCTATTCTTACAGAGGACCTGAGTTCAGTTTCCAGCACTCACATGGTAGCTTACAGCTGCTTATAACTTCAGTTACAGGGAATCCAAGGCTCTCTTCTGTCCTCTGCAGGCAACACACACATACACACACATGCACACATGTAGGTATTCACACATACACATAAAGTGAAAGCATGGAGGTAGACTGAAGAAAGGAGAAAGGATGTCTGATTGGAGAGCAGCTGAGAACTCCAGGCGAGATGATGTTGCCCCGTGATTATGTAGGATGTAGTCTCTCACCGTGGCAATGTAAAATTCCATCCAGTTGTGGCCCATGTGCATTCCAGGTCCTGAGCATCTCTGATGGAGGAGCTTCTCCATATGCAATCCCCCCCCAACCCAAAGAAGTGTGTGCATCTTAGGGTGAAGGGGTGTAGTCTCAGCCCACTCCACACCATTGAGTCTCCTATTAGCAATCCAGGGGATCCTCACAAACTTTAGGAAGTGAACTAAACCGTTTTGTGCAGCTCACACTGGTCTTTTTTCGTGGCTGGGAGCTCTTCCTGTCTGTGACTTCCGACTAGCTTAGGGCAGTCCCCTGGGCTCTGACATCACCCTCTCCAGATGTCTCTAAACAGGAAAGAGTGATGTGTCTACTGATGTGTTTGCTGAACACGTGTGTGTCTTTGTAACCCTGATACCTCGAGCCCTGCCACTCGGGCCCTCACACATCCACCCATCTCACCACTGTGTATACTTTGAATTTTCCCTGGCAGGAGATAGTGGATTGGTTCAATGCTCTCCGTGCAGCCCGCCTGCAATACCTAAAACTGGCCTTCCCTGATCTCCCAGAGTCTGAGGTGAGCTAAATGTGGGCCTAGCTTCTGGGTCTCCCATCCCCTCCCCTTTCCTCTTCCTGTCTCCTGACCCCTAAAATACTCAGGGGCTAGACCAGGTTTATTGTAGGTAAAGCCCAGGGAGACTGGAGGATAACAAGTCTCTGCAAGGTCAAAGGTCTCAGCCTTCAAACATCTTTCTGACCTCACCCATATGCAAATGGGCACCACATACTGTATGCACAGTGTTTTTTGACCCATTTTATCTCATAACCCCTTCTATACAGTAATTACTCAGACCAGGCAATTGGGCTGGGTGATTATTCCTGTTAAGTGAGTAATGGAACGAACCCTTCCCTTCCCCAGTGTATGCTGTGGTGCCCTGCCCTTGGGAAGGTGTTGGGGTCCTCATTATTACTGGGGTGCATTTGCCTGTGGTGGTAAAGGTAACAGTAAACTGAGAACTTCGTTTTGATTGTCTCAGACATCTGGGACCTCTATCTATTTCCCCAGTCTTGTTGAGGGACACTGGAATGACATGGAGCAGAGGATGATGTTTTAAGTCAGGAGGTCTAGGCCTCATGGATGCCCGGTCACTGATATGCTATGTGACCCCTACAGATCTTGATGCCTTTCTGAGCATGGGTCATATTAGGAAGATGGAGGCTGGTCCCTTTACCTAGGAGGTTCTACAATTGAGGATATGGTTTGCTCCTTTTTTTTTTTTTTTTTTTTTTTTTTGGGGGGGGGTTTTTTTTTGTGCTTGAGGCATAGTCTTAGTGTGTAGCCCAGTCCGTCCTGGAACTCACAGAGATCCACCTGCCTCGGCCTCCTGAGTGCTAGGATTAAAGGTGCTCGACACAGACACCGTGCCAGCCTTGAGGACATTTAAGCTTCCTGTTAAAAGGACTTAATTAAGTGATAGGAACAAAGGGACCATGCTGATCCTTGAGTCTGCCTTTCTTTCTTTTTGACAGAATCTTTTATAACTGAAGCTGGCTTAGAACTCACTGTGCAACTGACGATGATCTTGAACTCCTCACCCTCCTCCCTCTACCTCCCAATACTGATATTACAAGCCCAGTCACCACACCCTGAAATCCTGAACTTTCCTTTTCTTGAGGCTTTCTGTCTTTCTCTTTCTTCCTTCCTTTCACTTTCTTTCTTTCTTTCTTTCTTTCTTTCTTTCTTTCTTTCTTCCTTCCTTCCTTCCTTCCTTCCTTTCTCCCTTTTCTTTTCTTTCTGTCTTTCTTTTTCTTTCTTCCTTTCTTTCTTTTTAAAGTTTTTGACATATATTTATTCTTTTTATGCACTAAGTCATCTTTCCAGCCTTAATTCTGTGTGTGTGTGTGTGTGTGTGTGTGTGTGTGTATACACCTGGAGGCCAGAAGTCAGCCTCATGTGTCATTCCTTAGCTGCCACCCACCTTTATTTTCTCAAGACAATAATCCCTCTTCATTGGCTTGGGCTTTCCCATTAGGCTAGGATGACTGGCCAGAGAGCCCCAAGGATCCTCCTGTCCGGTGCTGACGTTACTGCACTGCACTCACGGCCATGCTCAGGTTTTGTTGTTTTTTTGTTTGTTTGTTTGTTTGTTTCGTTTTGGTTTTGGTGTTTTTTGTTTTGGGGTTTTTTCCTTTTTTTGTTTTTTTTTTGTTTTGTGTTTGTTTGTTTGTTTGTTTTTTGCAACAGGGTTTCTCTGTGGCTTTGGAGGCTGTCCTGGAACTAGCTCTTGTAGACCAGGCTGGTCTCAAACTCACAAGAGATCTGCCTGCCTCTGGCTCCTGAGTGCTGGGACTAAAGGCGTGCGCCACCACCGCCCGGAGTCCATGCTCATTTTTTAATGTGGGTACTGTTGCTCAAAATTGGGTGGGTCCTCATACTGGCATGGCAAGCATTTTACCCACGGAGACCCCCCCCTCAGCTCTCCTCAGCCTGATCCTGGAGTTTCTCGGTCTCCTCCGTTAGACCTTAATTGAAAGCCTAAATGTTCCTCAATTCCCAGCATTTACAGGGAGCTGGGTGTCTGGGAGAGGGATGACTTCAGGCCCAGTGATGTACCCATTTAGCAGTTCCCAGGCACGGTTCCAGCAAGGCTAAGGGCCAGGCCTCAAAGCTGAAGTTGCTGTGCTTAGTCAGCACCCAGAACTGGTTGCTGCTGGCTCAGTGAAAAGTGCAGGGTGCTGACTGCTGACCCAGGAGAGGGGAGGGTATGGAGCAGGTGCTCAGCCTTGTTTAATCTGGCTTCCTGTGTTTGCTAAACTGTGTGGAGGAAGTTAGTCTTTGACCAGTGCTCTCCATGCTCCCTTGTCTCCTTCATCAACCACAGTCGTACCTGCCCTGCCTGCTCCTCTTTCTTGCCTTCCCTATGTTTAGTGTGGTGCCTGGGCTTAAGAAATTGGTGCTGGAAACCCAGGAAGTCTTTGCAGAGATGTAATCCTCTCATCTGAAATGCACTGTGGCTCAATAGCAGAGGGCTTGCCTAGTTTGGGTTAGACCTTGAGTCCCATTCTCAGCACTGGAGAGAAAGAAGCTGGGCTTGGTGGTCTGCCCCACCCCCGAATCACTTTGGGGGCTGAGGTGCTAAAAGTCTGAGGCCAGCCTGGGCCACACAGTGAGTTCAAAATCAGGCCAGCTTGGGATACAGAAAACATGTTGAGGGTAGAAGAAGGAAAAAAAGGAGGCATGGAGGGAGGGAATGAAAAGAGAAGTGTGCCAGGTGGTGGCGCACACCTTTGGTCCCAGCACTCACTCGAGAGGCAAAGGCAGGTGGATCTCTGTGAGTTTGAGGCCAACCTGTTCTATATAGCTAGTTCCAGGACAGCTAGGGAAACCCTGTCACAAAAAAAAAAAAAAAGAAAGAAAAGAAAAAGAAAAAGAGAAGTGCATGTAGACCCTGGAGTCAGAGAGCCTAGTGTGCTGCCCAGTAAATGACATCATCTTTGAGCTTCAGAATGCTCAACTGTCATGTCACCATGGCCTGATGCCACCTGTCAGACTACCATGAAAATAGTGAGCCAATGTCTAAAGTATAGTGATGAGTACTCCAGTCAGGTGGTTTCCTTTGTTTCTCTTGTCCAGCTAGGCCTGTGCTACCTCAAATTCAGAGTTTAGAACAGTGGAGGGCCCTATAATCTCCAAACAGAAAAAATTCCTATAGAATGTATTTGAGGAGAAATGGAGTAGTCTAGTGTAGATTTTAATTTGGGGCCTCAACTTCTCTCTCTTGCTTCCTGTTGTGATTCCCCATATCCCACCTCAGTTTTACCCCTGTAACTCCAGGGACCCTACTGTTTTACTGCCATTGGAAGCTCTGGATTTGTCCATTTCCCCTCTCCTCACTTCTGAGAAACACAGGAAGTCATGATCAATCTGTGGGAGCTTCTTTCTCCAAGCATAGGAAAGCAGGCTGTGAGGGCTGTTGGAGGTCACAGTTGGAAATGTACCCCCAGAGACAGAAGTCTTACCAAGGTAACAGCTGGCTGAGGCCAGAAGTGGTGCTAAGATTCTAATCGCCTAACACCCAGTCCAGAGCTTTCTCTATTTGTCCTTCCTGCCGTTGCCTCTTCATGGCCTGTGCCAGAATCTGGGAGCAGGTCCCAGCTGGCATGATGGGGAGTCTGGTCAAAGGGCTCTGCCATATTTATATAGTGTGATGGTACACAGGGCTGCTGCCTGTCAGCCCCGAGTGTGAGTCCCACCTCTTCATTCTATCAGCCACGTGACTTCAGCAAAGTGTCTGCTCACATCTCTGTGGCCTGGTTTCTTAGTGAGTAAGGCAAGGCTTATGAACTCTACTACCCAGTGTGGTAGGGAATTGTACCCAGAGCCTGTTGCGGCAGACAGGCTCTCCCCATCCCCTTCTTCTTTTTGGTTTTTTTAGATAAGGTTTCTCTATGTAGCCCTAGATATCTTGGAACTCACTCTGTAGACCAGGCAGGCCTCAAACTCAGAGATCTGCCTGCTTCTCTGCTTCTCCCAGGGACTGGAATTAAAGGCAATTGCCACCTGCCTGTTGACAAGTGGGTCTCTTGCAACCTTGCCTGAAGGAAGGAAGGAAGAAGGGAAGGAAGGAAGGAAGCACTTAAATCATGACTGGGCCATGCTGGAAAACTCTACAGACACATCAGGGGCCCTTTGACTGGCTTTGATGAACTATTTGTATTATATCCAGCACACACTCCAAATATAACCCATCATCCATGTGTATACTCCCTTCTCCACTCCAAACTTTTGTCCCAGGCCAGAGTTCACTCTGGAACCTGAAAGCTCTGGGTGTGAGTAGGGAATCAGCCTTGTCTCTCCCTGCAGCTCGTGCCTCTCATCACCAGGAACTACCTCAAACAAGGCTTCATGGAGAAGACTGGTCCCAAGGTACATTTTCTGGGCTATTTAACATGGTCCTGTCCCAACCCCCAATAAAGCAGAAAGGTGTGGGTGGAGGTGGGAGGGAGGGCTGAAAAGAGAGGGAAAGGAAGAGTACCAGTATTTGTGAGTTTCTGTGTTGAAGGACTGAGTAGAGACTAGGAGTTGACTGATGTGTGATCCTCCACATTGCTCTAATGTCTGTTGAAAAGTTTTATACCTCTATGAGCCTGTCTGCTGAAGCAGCAATCTGAATTAGATCAAATCAACCCAAATGAGAAGAAAGCCCATGTTTAATGGATAAAACACTCCTGGATGATTTTCCAACCCCCCTCCCCCTCAGAGAGGAGTTGGAAAAGGGAGACCAGGAATCTGTTTTCTGGGGGACAGTTTAAATACCCTGTGGGAGTGGTCTTGAGCATTTCTGGGGGAGGGGTCATCATTTGGTGGGCTTTCTGAGATGTAGCAGATTTTGGAGATAGTGGAGGGATTGGGGTGGCACTTTCCACCAGAGCAGTTGTGTACCACCCTGTCATGTTCATTGTGTCTGTCACCATTAGACTTTAGCTAATCCTGGGAAAGCAATGCTGAAAAGGAGTTCCCTAGTGAGACGGTTTTGAGACAATGTTTCTGAATCCAGGAGACAGGGATAGTTTGAAAAAGCATGGCAAAGTATTCTTTCTCCTCCCAGTCTGGCTCCTCAGTGACTAAGCCCACCCCCTTCACCACAGCCTGTGCCTTCACACTTATCTAAGGAGGAAGAGGAGCTGCCCCTGAGGGGAGGAGCCTGGGGTTTCCTGTGAACCAGACAAGGGTTGCACAAACCCAGATTTTTAGGAGGCTGAGTCAGAAGAATGAAAGCTATCTTGGCCTACATAACAAATTCAAAGTCAGTCTGCACCCCCTCCAATCTCAAAATAAAAAAAAATTTAATAAGGTGGGATAGGGTGCGATGTGTACTTCAAGGTAAAGGGCTTGCCTAACATGCATTAAGGTCAGGTTCAACGCAAAAGCACAATTATAATGTGTTACAGGATGCTTTTTACGAGGACCCTGAAAGGTGTTGGAGTGAAAGAAAACCTTAGGAGCCAGGCTGTGGTGGCTCACACCTTTAATCCCAGCTCTTGGGAGGCAGGTGGATCTCTGAGTCGGAGGCCAGCCTGGTCTGCAGAATGAGGTCCAAGATAGCCAAGACAATGCAGAGAAACTATGTCTCAAAAAAAAAAAAAAAAAGGAGGAGGAGAAGGAGGAAGAAGGGGAGGAGGAGGAGAAGGAGAAAGAAGAAGGGGGGAGAAGGAGGAGCAGGAAGAGGAGGAAAGGAAGGAAGGAAGGAAGGAAGGAAGGAAGGAAGGAAGGAAGGAATGAAGGAAGGAAGAAAGGGAGGAAGGAAGAGAAAAGAAAGCCTCAGGAGTTGAAAACTTAATCAAATGGTATACAGGCTCCTTCCCACAGAAGCCAGGCACAGTCCCTGTGTTTTGCCTCAAGCCTTTCACTCCCCTGACCTAGGTTACAGTTGAACCAGAAGCCAGTACTTTCAACTTTGTGAGCAGGAGCCACTTCTGACTTCCCTGGCTTCCTTTTTCTGGCAGCCTGAGAAAGAGGGAAGTACCTCTTTCACTCCCAAGCAGCACCTGGCAGTGCAAAGCAAAGCCAAGGGTAGTGGGTGGAGAGGGGCTGGGCTGAGCCTTCAGAGTCTGAGCGAGTGCTGGCTCTGTGGTGTACTTCTTTAATTCCAGCATTCCCGGGGGTAGAAGCTGAGTGATTCCTGTGAGTTCCAGAACACCCAGGACTACACAGTGAGACCCTGTCTCAAAACAAACAAACAAACAAACAAACCAGAGTCTGAGTAGGTGTTCAGACCAGCAGACCCCAGAACCAGTTTGGCTGGACTCCAGCCCCAGCCCTGCGGGTAATGGGAGAGCATGCGTTCCCAGGATCTAGCCCCAGGGAGAAGCTGTGGTGTCTGATTGCAGAAGCCGGGCTGGAGAACCAGTGTGATGACCTCTTCTCTAAACTGGCTCTGACTTTTGTGTCTGCCTTCGCCATGTGTGATAAGAGGTTCCTCCTTTTGCAGCAGAGAGAACCCTTCAAGAAAAGATGGTTTGCCCTGGATCCCCTGGAGCGAAGGCTGCTGTATTACAAGAACCCCTTGGTACGAGCCATTCCTGATCCCCTCTTAGCATGTTCCCAGTCAGGTGGTCTAATACAGAAAGACCATCTCTTAGACTCCCAGGACAGAGGAACCAGTGACAGGAAAGCCTGTACCCTTGCTTCTCACCTGTGCCTCTGCTTCTCACTCAGCTCCATTCAGGATGCCCAGAGCTGACAACTGTGGTGAAAGTAAGGTGTAGGCAACTACTACTGCCTTGTAAGGCAGTAAGGAGGTCTGGAGTGGAGTGGTTAGGGCTGTGGGGCTCAGGAACCAGTTTGGCTGGACACTGGGCTCTAGTCTCAGCCCTGCCATTGTAGAGCCATGCCCTGGGCTGGGTATGCACTTAGCTTTCTATGCTGCATTTCCTTTCTTACCAAAATATTGGCTTAGCATGAATGCCTTGCTCAGAAGTGGCCATGATGAGTATACATGTTGCTAACATGTAAACCACTTGAGCTGGGCCTGGGGGTACCAGCCTGTAATCCCAGCTACTGGGGAAGTTGAGACAGTTGGATTGCAAATTCAGACTCCCTGGGCTTCAGAAGAAGTTCAAGGCCAACCTGTGTAATTTAGTGAGACCTTGTCTCAAAAATTAAAGAGAGGGGCCAGGGCTAGGCTCAGCAGTAGAGGGATTGCCTAGCATGTTTCAGACTCTATGCTCAGTCCCCAGTGCCTAAAACAAAGCAAAAACAAACAAAAAAACCCAAAAACAAAACAAAACAAAAACCCAGCCTTTGAGTTCCCAGTGCCTGGTGTATTCTCTGTATGCTAGTGTCTTCAGCAGATTCGAGTGCAATATACTTTGGGTTTAAATGTTTCAGATTAGAAGTCTGGCAATGACATGAACATCTCTTTACTAAGCCTGACTTTGGGAATGGCAGGGCTGGAAGGGCCCCTTTGCCCCAGAACAGCCTCTGATGACCACATGCCTTCCACTTGCAGGATGCTTTTGAGCAGGGCCAGGTTTTACTGGGAAGAAATGGGCAGGGATATGAAGTATGCGAAGACCTGCCCAAGGGCACCCGAGGGAATCGCTGGAAGGCTGGACTCACTGTCATCACTCCAGAGCGGAAATTCATCTTTACCTGCCCTAGTGAGAAGGAGCAGAGAGAATGGCTGGAGAGTCTGCGGGATGTCCTATCCAGTCCCTTGTCACCCCTCCAACTCCTCAGTGAGAATCGGGGCTGGGGGGAGGGCCTGGGGGCTCTTTTCAGTGAGGGCAGAAAAGGGCTCTTTCACTGTGGTCCGGGAAGGGCCTGACTCAGTGTTTTGCGTTACCCTTAACTTCCGGCCAGAGAAAAGCACACACATTGCACATTATTGCCAGAAAGTCCCCTCTGCACCAAGTTCCTCTATGCAGCTGTCCTCATGAGCTTCAGGAGGAGTCTGGCCCTAGCAGAACTGTGGAGACAGGCTCTGCCCAGCTGTTCAGATTCCCCACACCCTTGTCCTTTTTCTCATAAGAAAATGCTGGCCTGGTATCCTTAGCAGAGGTCACCCTGCCAGGCACCTCCTAGGATTCTGGATTCCTCCCCACCCAGAGGGGAGGCTATTTTTAGTGTTCTCCCTTTCCTTAACCCTCTCTTTTGTCTGTCTCCCTCCCCTGTTCCTCCTCTTCACCCCACATGTGTCACAAGGAGACTGTTCTCCTCTGTTGACAACTCTGTGAAAAGCAGAGATGTGCTGAGCTAAGGAGGAAAAATCTGGCCCAGGGCCGAGCTTCTGGGGCATAAAGGAAAAGTTCTTGTGTTTGGAAAAGTACAGACTAAACAGGTGACCCCAACAACCCCTGGGGGGAGCCCTTGTGTCTTGCTAGACTCACCAGTATAAACACAACTGTTACATCCTGGCATGGTAGCTAATGCATGCCTTTAGTCCCAGGTAGCTAGTGCATGCCTTTAGTCCCAGTAATTGAGAGGCAGAAGCAAGCAGAACTCTGTGAGTTCTAAGCCAGCCTGGTCTACATAGTGAGTTCTAGGACAGCTGGGGATACTTAGTGAGACCCTGTCTCAAAACAAAAAAAACAAAACAAAACAAAACAAAAAGCAAAAACAAACAAACAAAAACCCCACTATCCACAACTTCAGCACTGCTCTCTGTTCTCTGTGGGCCTGCTCTGTGTCTCTGCCCCTGCCTTCCTTTCCCTTTTTACCTGTGTGTCTGTCTCCCATCTACCTCCTTCAGTCTTTTTTTTTTTTTTTCTGTTTTATTCTCCTTTAAAGTTTCTTTCTGCTTTCAGTGCTGTTCTGGCTCCCTGTGTCATCACACACTTCTCCCCTTGGCTATTCCTTTCTTCCAGCAGAACAGTGCTAGCATGGCCACCTTCCCCAGACCTCTTGTTTCCTTTGCAGATGCATCAGCACAGAGTGGCTGTGGCCACAGAACACCCATCTCAGAACTGACTGGCCACTGAGCACTTAAAATCCTGGAGAAATGTTCACCTCTGCCCTGGTTGTCCAGAGGAAGCCCCTGAGGCCAGAAGCTGCCCCGTCAGTGAACTCTGTCAAGACTGAGGGTGTGGTTTATCTTGTGGCTCCCATCATCCTTCCAGCAAACAGTTTTCAGTCTTAGGGAGCTGGTACCAAGAAGAATTTAGCTCTCCAAGCTCAGAAGTCCTGAGACTTTCTCATATCTGCACTGAGAGCTGGGTGTGGTGGAGCATGTCTGTCATGAGGCAGAAGTGCCATGAGTTCAGTGCCAGCCTGGACCATACACGGAGTTCAAGTCCAACCTAAATTACATAGCAAGACCTTGTCTCAAAAAACAAAGGAAGCAAACAAACAACAACAAAAACTACAGAGAATGGGTGGAGACACTGCACTAAAAAAAGCACCCTTGAAAGGTAGTGGTGGCACACACCTTTCATCCCAGCACTCAGAAAGCAGAGGCAGGCAGATCTCTGTGAGTTCAAGACCAGTCTGGTCTACAGAGTGAGTTCCAGGACAGCCTCCAAAGCTACACAGAGAAACCCTGTCTCAAAAAAAAAAAAAAAAAAAGCACCCTCAGCATCAAGATTGTACAAGTAGAAAAACCGTAAAAGTTTAATGTGAACCTAAATATGAAGAAATAATCAGACATTCAAAAATTACATGTTGCTATACAACTAGCCTGGACTTTTCAAATATAATATTAAAAAATAAAATTGGCAGGACATGGTGATGCATGCCTTTAGGCCCATGCACCCATCAGGCAGAGGAAGGTGGATCTCTGTGAGTTTGAGGCTAGCCTGGTTTATATATCAAGTTCCAGGAGAGTCCAGGATATACAAAGAGAATTTGTTTCAAAAAAACTGAGGGGAAGTCTGGAGAGATGGCTCAGTGGTTAAGAGCACTGGCTGCTCTTCCAGAGTACCCAGAATTCAATTCCCAGCACCCACATGGCAGCTTACAACTAACTGTCTGTAATTCCAAGATCTGACACCCTCACACAGACATACATGCAGGCAAAACACCAATGTACTTAAAATAGTAAATTAAAAAAGAGAAGCTGGGGTTGGAGAGATGGCTCAGGAGTTAAGAACACTGGCTGCTCTTCCAGAGGACCTGTGTTTAATTCCCAGCACCTTCATGGTAACTCACAACTGTAATTCCAGTTCCAGAGAACCTGACACCCTCACACCAATACACATAAAATAAAATGATTTTTAAAAAAGAAGCCACTGTAAAGGACATAATTGATGTTGCAGAAATTAGGACCTGGATAGTGTTCCTGTTCTTAGGGGATGCGTGCTGAAGTAAAGTGTAAACGATGTCTGTGGCCAACTTTTAAATGGTTCAGCTAAAAGAAAAAATCAGTATATGTAGACATGTACACAAGTAGTATGCACATATGTGCACATCTCTATCTATGTACACAGAGCACACCACTAATGAATCTAGATGAAGCATAGATGGGCATTTATTTTCATACTTGTGAACATTTTACACGGATTTGAGTTTTCATATTAAAAAGTTGATAAATCACCCAGTCTTGGCAATGGTTTTCTTTCAAGAATCCAATATCCCTGAAGCTGGGCATGCTGGGTACATCTGCAGACTCAAGCACTCAAGGAGGTTCTGCAGGGCCACTTGAGCCGGGAGTCTGAGAACACCGTTGGCAACTGGCTAAGATATTGTCCCAAAGTTCCTGGGAGCAGTGGAAGGCTGTGTATTTGTGTTCTGCCAGGAATAGTGGTGACCAAAGGGAGGTACTGGGGTAAAAGCCTTTACCAAACCAGAACAGATAGAAAAAGATGAAATAAAATGATGTGCCGGGCGTTGGTGGCACACGCCTTTAATCCCAGCACTGGGGAGGCAGAGGCAGGAGGATCTCTGTGAGGTCGAGGCCAGCCTAGTCTACAAGAGCTAGTTCCAGGACAGTCTCCAAAGCCACAGAGAAACCCTGCCTCGAAAAAACCAAAAAAAAAAAAAAAATAAGATGATGCAAAAGAGACAGAGATGCTGGGCATTGGTGGCACACACCTTTAATCCCAGCAGTGGGAGGCAGAGGCAGGTGGATCTCTGTGAGTTCGAGGCCAACCTGGTCTACAAGAGCTAGTTCCAGGACAGGCTCCAAAGCCACAGAGAAACCCTGCCTCAGAAAAACAAAACAAAAGAGACAGAGACGTGGAGAAATCTCAGAGAACTCCTTTGCTGCCCAAGGGAAGGGGGTTCCTGCATAACACCTAAGGGGAGGTATTTGATTGAATCTCCTGTGCTGGTTGTGTATGCTTCAATCATTAGCACTTAAATAAACAAAATAATTAGTTTTTATTTTTTTCCACAAGAGGACTGGAGAGACAGCTCAGTGTTTAAGAGCACTTGCTGCACTGATAGAGGACTCTAGTTCCTGGCACCCACAGGGAGAGATGGCTTAGTGGTTAAGAACACTGATTGCTCTTGCAGAGGACCTGGGTTCAATTCCCAGTACCCACATGGCAGCTCACAACTGTCTGTAACTCTTGTTCCAGGGGATCTGATACCAGTGCACATAAAGTAAAAGTTAAGTAAATTAAGAAAAGAAAAGTTTCAGCCAGGCGGTGGTGGCGCAAACCTTTAATCCCAGCACTGGGCCTGGTCTACAAGAGCTAGTTCCAGGACAGCCTCCAAAGCCACAGGGAAACGTTGTCAACCCCCCCCCACCACCAAAAAAAGAAAAGTTTCTTGGAGAACTCCATTTTTGTGCACATTTGAGAAGAAACAAACCGAGATAATGAGAAGATGATGCCCCCTTCATTATCACGGCAGATGAAAGAAAACGGGCCGAGGAGTAATCTTGAAAACACAAGAAAAGTCACTTCACTATTTGCCTTAATTTTATATTTAAAAAGAGGAAGTCGGTAAGTTGGATGGCTCAGCAGTTAGGAGCACTTTCTGTTCTCCCAGAGGGTTTGAATTCCCAGCAGCCACATCTGCCAGCTCACCAGTACCTGGGACTTCAACTCCAGGGGGATCTATCCTCTCTGGTCTCCATGAGCACACACATGTGCACAGGTTTAAAAATTAAGTTTAACCTTTTTTAAAAAAGAAGAAAATAGGAGGAAGCTGTACTGATTGATGAAACTCAATGTAAATTACATGTATTTGATCACTAGGCAGGCTCGAGCGGGTGGTCCCTGCTGTAGCCGGCAGGGGCAGCAAGGAGCAAAGTGCTTAGGCTGCAATGAGAGTGGTAAGTGGCAACCAGGCATTTGAAAGGAAGAGGGAGCAGGGAAGCCTTCTTCCTCTTCCCTCTCCAGAAAGTGACATTAAAGTTGAAAATTTCCAAACTGTGTAGAGGTTAATCAAAGGGAAGGGGTAAGAAAAATAATTCAAGTTGAGGAAAGAAAATGCTCAAAGGCCGCAAGCTAGGAAAAGAACACTTAAAGAATTTTATATTGAAAGACTTAAAAAATTAGCAAAGAAATATAGCCCAGATAAGGAAACTCTCCAAACTGAATGTAGGGCAGTCTAACCCAGAAACTAAGGCCACTACTATGACTTAGTGCCTGGAATTTACCAGCTTACAAGGTTATAAGATAACTGGGTATCAAGAATTCCCAGATGGTCACCCTCCCCGAGGGGTCATGGAGAAAACAGATTGCCCCACTGGCCAATAATGTGTCAATAATGCGTCAATAATTAACAATTAAGGGTCCCTATGAAACAAAGAGATAGCTACCATTTGCTCAGGCAAGATAAACGTATCATGAGGTCTGCAGGTTTTACAACTGGTGGGTCAGGAGGCCATCTGATTCCCAGTCCTCTCCTCAAGACAAAGGGCCTCTTAGAAACCCATGACTC